GTCAGTTGTACTGAACATAATGTGCATATTATCTTTTTGTAATCCAAGTTTCAGCGTTTTGGCAAATAGCCGGGAAAATAATTGTTTAAAAAGATATATGTTATACTTATCTGTGATAAAATTTATAAAAAGTTAGTAAATAATAATTAGCAAAAAATTTTCAGTTAATATTATTTTTCATTCCACTCTACATTTTAACTTTTACCAAGAAGAGGAACTTAATTTGTTTTAAATTAGTAAATTATAATTATGGTGTGATTTTCATTTTAGGTTATATGAAGAAGTTTATTAACGGAGAATTATATAAATTTATTTGGTCGTTTAATATGCTGTAATTTTTGTTCCCTATTTATTTTATTAATTTCTAGCCATTCTAATAAATTAAGTTTTTTACTTTTCCCACAAATATGTAATATTTTAATGTTGATGGTCATCAGTTATTGTATGACCAGAATCTGTTAGGTGTTTGTAAAAGTTGGAATATTGCTTTTAGTGTGTGAATATGTTCTCTATATCTTACTCCGACCGATCTACCTGTTTGACCTACATATGAGGCGTTACATTCTGGGCAATCTACCCGATATACACCACATTTTTTAGAGATATCAGTTTTTTGTTTTGCATTGAAAAGATATCTGTCTATATTTTTGTTAGAACTAAATGATGTTTTAATATTAAATTTGGAAGAAGTGTTGCTAATTGAATAAGAGAGTTGATCTGAATATGGTACTAAAATGTATGTTTGAACTATTTTCTCGTTAATAGTGGGGTAAAGTTCTTTTAAGAGGGACGTACTTTATTTTCTGTAGATTAGATTATTGATTATATTTTGAGGGTACTCATTATTATATGCTATAAGTCTTATTGTGTCTAGTTCTTCTTTTATTCGAAACAGATTTAAAAGTAGTATTTAATCCAAAATATCCAAAAATAGTCGCCGAATTAGTACAGGTTATTGCTGATTCTATATAAATGCTTTAACAGCTAATTCGTGGTAATCTGCTTACCAGTTGGTCATGTTTTGTAAAATGCTTTATCGACATTTTTGTTCATCAAAGCAGTTATTGGAAGTGATACTGGCATTGTTGTCACTGCCATTGTTCTGTTGGTTGCTACAATATTTAACGCAGATTTCGTATATGAATAGTGTAAAAAAAATAGAAAGATATAGGAATTTTGTAGAATACCTCATACACATAATATATTGCAAAATACTAATCAATTATTTTTCAGTTGATCTATTTAACAAGATCAAAAGAAGATTTCTAACTTCCTCCAATGCAGTTACTGGGAAATTTAGTTTCAAAATGTGTGTGCATACATTTATGATGCACCCTTTGAAATCTGAGATATTTAATATTCAACTGTCTATGTTAAAAATAATTCGTATTATAATGTAAAGTGTTTGATGAATGATAAAAGTTATTTTAATTCAAATTCACGAATATTGTAAACAAATTGCTAGAATACTTGATAACATGCTCTTAAGAATTTCAATTTACTATATTCAAATAGACGAATAAGTCTATTGTCGTAACTAGGTTCTTTAACAAATTGCTTATTGTTGAATAAGTATGTAACTTTTAAACGTTTTTCTTCAAAACTTTGACCCCGTTAATCCTATTTTCTCCTAAAAGTTCTCCAGGAACTCTACACACCTTCAGCAGTAACCTATTACTTGATTGTGACACCGACACCGTGAGTTGGTACAAAGTATTTAACTATGTAATAGAAGACTGTCTCTTATAATAATTATATGGAACACAGATCTTTGTTCTTGTTTTAAGTACAATTAAAACTTAGTTTGCATTTTAAATCAACTAGGTACCGAAATGAAAGCTTAGCGGGTGCTTTTGTATGTTAATTGTATCTGTTCTTTTCTAATACACCATTTAACCGCACTTAATTTTACTTAATTGCTGACACACTTAAGAGTTCCGTCTTCAAAGCATATAACGATTGCGTCGGTAAATTGTGACAAAACACTGTACTGGGAGGTGGACCTTACGACCCAGCTGTTGCCTCGCTATTGCTCAATGTCACGTGTTGATTTTATTCAGGGCTGGATTCGAGTTTGTAGTTATTTATTGCGAATTAGCGGTTTCGTGAGATAATCATTATTATTCATTGTGTGTTGTGTATAGATATTATTATTTTGTGAATTAATCAAATAAGTGAAAACATGGATTACAAAAGAGGAAAAAAGCGTAGACTGAGAACATGGGTTCCTAAAAAAATGGGTCTTGCAGTGAAAAAGGTAGGTAAATATTGTGAATAATAAAAACAATTTTCTATCCAGATACGTTGTGTCATTTTCCAAATAGTTTAGAACAGCTGTCGAAAATTCGATTTAATGTTTATAATTCTATAATTTTTGGTGTTTTCATACTTACTCCACTTATGTATATATACAGGGTGGGGCAATAGTGTGTCCGACTTCGATATGTCGAGTTCTATGATACCTAGAGACTTGATTTAAAAACATAAATAAACTAACAAAAAAAGTCTATACCCGGATGTTATTTTCGAATATACAGGGTGAGCTGAGATGAGTCTACAGGATCAAATAATATTTTTTTAAATGGAATGCCATGTATATCAGAATATTTTTTGAAACCTCTTTGTGGCCTCCTTCCACTCCTGTTTATTATTGACTCTCTCCCAACCACTTGGATGTAAGTATTTTTTTTGGTGAAATTATGCCATTTACACGTGTATATTAAAAAAATCACCACAGTTACAGTTATCGATTTTAAGAAAAAATATATTAGTGCCAGTAATGAGACATCTGTGTGATGATACTCAGACATTTTTACTTCCTTAAAGTATACAGGGTGGCCATAAATAATTTTTAAATTTACAACTATTTGAACTGAATTTTCTCAACTTTTTCAAATAGAACATCCTGTATATTTTTGGACGATGTGATGTAGAATTAAAAAACTAACATTTTTTGTACGTACATCCCTATTTGTTACCATTTTCGATTTATTGAACAATAACTGCAAAATTCAGCAATAAAAATTAAATATATATATATATATATATATATATATATATATATATATATATATATATATATATATATATATATATATATATATATATATATATATATATATATATATATATATATATATATATATATATATATATATATATATATATATATATATATATATATATATATATAGATATACATATATTTTCTTTTCTTTATAGCAATTGTGTTCTTGGGATTTTGGTTCTTTAATGATAGATTTGAATGAAAATATAAATTGTTTATTTATTTATTCATAAACACATTTCACAAACGTTTCGGTGGCTGTTTTCCACCGTTTTCAATGCAATGACTTAAACGAAAAGAATCCGATGTGGCACTTTGTAGTTTACAATAATGCTACTTAATTAATAATTTGTGCGTATAGCGAGCATATCACTTTTTACTGTTTTACACTAACCGATGATGTTTTTGTGTGTACAACTAAGTTTGAACTAAAATCTAGCGAGATATCTATCATTTAGTTTCTCAATTAACAATTTCTATATAGAATAATAAAATTAAAAACAAAATGAAAATAAAATTAAATAAAAAAAAATAAAGGAAATATGTAATAATTATAAAATTTGATCAATTTTTAGTAGTACTTTCTTTATTTACGAAGTAAATGTATTACAGCTATATGTATATTCTAGAGATCACTTCAATGGGCCTTGTCAAATTATTGAAAAATGCACAATGTGTAATTTCAAGGAAATATACATTTTTGATCAACCTGTATATTTTTACTTAAATTTAAAATTTGACTTCAAACCACTGGAAAATGTTATTGGAATTAACAACAAAAATGAGAGGGACATTTTATGTGGCTTACCCTATAAATACAAAATAAAATAGAATAAACAATATTTACGATGACGTTTTTCTTTTTTTATTGAATACTGCTGCATTAAGTACCCCTACTACGAATGGCATCAATTTATTCACTTGACATTTTTTAATATTGTACTGTTAATGTTCTTCCTAGAATATTTATCGGTAGTAAACGGGGCCATGAATCACACTGAATACACGTAGAGTCGACCGCGCGAATATTTTGTAGAGGGCGCCTGCTCCTTGTGTAGGAAAATCGGGAAAAGAGCCACGCAATTAAAAATACTTGAAGTTGATATATTAAAAAAAAATTTTTTTGGTGGTGAATAATTATATTCTGTCGCGGTGTTTTTTGTTTTTCAATTTTCATGTTTTGAGATTTTGAAAAATTGTAGAAAAAAACCTAAATTTTTTTTTTCAAAAAATCCCACGCCTTGTCCCAGATTGAACTGTTATCAATATGTCCTCCAAATTTCATATTCATATCTTCTCTAATAACGTCACAGTTATTTGGCTACACATTCATGTTTTTCACGGTCGCAGACGGAATTCTTAAGAACAGATCATGCCAATATCTTTGCGCATTTATATAGTTCGAAGACATTAAGTTGAAACCTGCATTCAAGATTGAACTGGTGTCAATTGGTCTACCAATAAAATAATAATTTTAATGTAATCTATAAAAGAGGAAAATATTAATAAAGGCTTCCACATTTTTATTTGATGTTTAATTGCTTTACCTGCTAATTTTCCTTTCTAAAAAACTTCATTCATACAAATTTTTTTCTATATTTTATTATTCTATCTTTCAAAATAATCTAGAAAATGGGAAGTGGAAGAGTTATTTGAAACACCTGATACAGACAAAATCGATTAGTAAACGTATGAAACATATTTTCTAAATTAGTCATATTTTGAGTAAGAATTCCAATGTTATGTTCTACAAGAAAAATTCTTTTCTGTTTTTTTTAATTACCTATTTTATTATTAACATCATAGGTAATGTATCCCTAAAGTTACACCAAGGTACCTTTTGTGGAAGAGGGTAACACATTTAGAGACAAAGGACACAACACCTAATATCCGAGTGTGCTAAGATTAATTTCTGCTTTAGAAAAAATCCCAACTGCTTCACTGGGGATCGAACCCGGGACTCTGGAGTGAGAGACAAGTGTTCTTACCACTCGAACACGAAGCCATATTGTTGACCTATTTCTTCTACCTTTTATTTTTCCTTAATTTTGAACGGAAGCATTTTCGGACCCATAACCGGAGGAACTTTTTTCTTTAAAATCGTCCAAGAAATATCTCCTGAAGTTTTCGACATCGCTTAGAATTGTTAGAAAAGATCCGTATAAGTTTTACCATTTTGCCACAAAGTTTTAAATGATGTTTCCTCACCTCTCAAGTGAGAGAGGTGTGCATTCATGAAAAGATATATTAAAGTTATATTGCATTTCTAAACGAATCTCAATGAATTATGATTTAAGCAAACAAATTTTTGTCTGTGTGTCTGTCTATACTGTGACTTCATGGATAAATTTGTTGAGGAGTAAAATAGGTTTGAGGAACTCTAACTTTTTTTTTTTTTAAGTTATTTTACGAACCCATTATAACTATGTATGGACACTAAAAGAATGAACCCCGGCTCGGTGGAGTAGTTGGCAAGATTGTGCAATGCCAAGTGTGATTAGATAATCTCTCTATCGTAGCTGCGGGTTTGAATCCCGCCACCGGCACAGGCAATGTTGGTGGGAATGGTGTATGATTGTATGTCCGTGTTCGGAGGGTTGTATAACTCCTGTGGTGTTTTATTTATTTATTTATTTATTCTAAAATTCCTGGCTACAAAAACTAGAAAAATATGTATTTTCACCTATACCAGGCAGGAAATAAATTAATATTGATTAAAAATAAATGACACTTGATTTGGTATGATACTACAATTTAAGAATTTCTCTGTAAATATCCTTTTAATAAAAAAAATCTATAATTTTGAAGTATGTATACATTTCATATCCATTGTTTAGTAGTATCTCTTAATAAGTAACGAAAAAGTAATTAATTAGACGCAGAATCTTGTTAAAGGGACCTAAGTTGCTTCCTGTATAAATATAAACAATCAAATGTGGCCAAATAAAATTTAGAAGAAAGCATATTAAGACATTAATTCACAGTAGTCAGGCAACCATTTTCTCAAACAAGTTTTCTCCGTTACTTATGATTGTCATTTAAAACAAAGGTACTGTTAAGTGAAAGGAAATGGTCCTTTCACAAATTGAAAATATGAGAAACCATTCTTTGTCTTGATTTTCAAATCAGGACTAGAGTTATTAACCAGCCAAGTGGTGACTGATAATATTACAGGCTTAACAAAAGACTAATATAGTGGCAGCAACATCTGAAACAAGAGGGAATTAATCTTGAGTTTCTGTGGCACGTAATTTTCGAGACAATCCATCTTAAAAGAGGCCCCATATTTACGAAAGAAATCAGTAATTATTTCCTTAGTCGATGTAAAAAGTGGAAGTTTAACACTTAAAATTATCTAGATCTAAAGCAGTGGTAATAATTGGGTGATAGCGATTACTATTATTATAGAAGGTGATCTACAACTAATGCACCAAACTTTAGAGGCTGCTAGTTTGTCAAAAAAAATAGGTGCATACTGTTTATTAAATGTATATTTCAAATACTTAATAAGGAAGCTACAACCCTTTAAAGATGAACGATGATTGTCGGTTTTTACAGTTATATAACCGACACGGTATTGATTATAATAAAGTAGATTCCGTATAGCGGGCTAGAGCATTAAGTGACACCTGTAACTGGTTTTACTGTATGCCAACTTCCCGGTTCAAATCCCAGCTTCAACCCAGACAAAGTTGGGAGTAGTTGTGTACCCGCATCTTTTTAATAGTGTAACTCCCACACCTGTAGCTCCGAAATTAGATTTGGAGGTTGTCGTATTTATGTAGTGTTTTTTATATTTATTTAAAGTTTTGAATAATTTAACAATTTTAAGTAAAAATAAAAATCATTTAAAACAAAAATCTCGGTGCTGTCATCATACAAACTGTGATGGCAGCATTTTTAAATTTTCTGAACCAAGAGAAGCTCAACTGAAATTAAACATCGACAGATCTTTACAATAACTTTTAAGGAACTCAAAAGTGAATCTATTCCAAATTTTTGTTATAGACTGTAAATAATTATTTAAGAGAACAAGTATCACAATAATTTTAAACTGACTCAAAAATTCCCTTTGAAATAGTATTAGATAATAATAATAAATATTTCGGACGACGGTAGCCGAGTGGATTAGAATGCATATTTAGTGCGAAATACCGCCAGACTGATGAAAATACTCAGCTGCGAGACTAGGGAGACGATAGGTTCATTACGAAGGCAAGATGGAATTTGGACTACTTCAGGGGGAGGAGTCATTAAGACACCTCTTAGAGGTTCACTTCCCAGGCGAAAGCGCTACCCTTGCAGTACCGTCGGAGGGGCCGATGCCACCAGCTGACGGGCAGCTTGCTGAGGAGATTGTAAAGGACGGAGTGGTAGCCTGGGCAGTGAATGAGTTCGAACCCTTTAAAGCAGCGGGGCCAGACGGGTTCTTCCCAGCTTTACTTCAGAAGGGCCTGGATATTCTTCTACCGCATTTAAGAGGAATATTTGTGGCCAGTCTGGCACTGGGATATGTTCCCCTGACCTGGAGGTCAGCTAAAGTGGTCTTCATCCCCAAAGTTGGAAAAAGGGACTACACAGCTGCCAAATCTTTTAGGGCGATCAGTCTCACGTCCTTCCTGATAAAAGCACTGGAAAGGATAGTAGACAGATATCTGCTGGAAGGGGACCTAGCCAGGTACCCATTCCACAAGAATCAGCACGCATATAGGCGAGGGAGGTCCACGGAGACAGCCCCCTCACGCCGTCGTGCATAAGGTAGAAAGGGCCCTCTTGCATAAGGAGGTCACCCTAGCAGTATTTTTCGATATTGTGGGAGCCTTTGATAAAGCAAAGACTACTACTATCTACGATGCCCTTCGGACTAGAGGTACTGTTCCAGTACTGGTCAGATGGACGAAATCTGCGCTGGAAAGAGACGAGTTAGTGCTGCTTTGGGAGACTGTCGATTGGACGTCGGGGTGAGGGGCAGCTGCCTATCACCCCATCTATGGTGTCTAATAATGGATGGTCTCTTGGAGCGCCTAATTTCGGAAGGATTTTATGTGCAGGCATATGCGGACGACGGGCTGGTCCAAGTGATCGGCCCCTTCTTAAATGTCGTTTGCAACAGAACGCAGGTAGCTTGTAGAATAATAGAAAGATGGTGCGGCGAAACAGGTCTCCCAGTCAATCCATCTAAGACTGAGATGATCCTGTTCACCAAGAGAAGAAAAATAGAGGATTTTAGGGCACCAACCATGTACGGTAAACCTCTCGCGCTTGTGCAGGAGGTTAGGTACCTGGGAGTGACCCTAGATAGCAAACTGTCATGGGTGCCGCAGATCGACAACGTCATAAAAAAGTCGACTGCAACCTCCTGGCAATTGCGCCGAGCGGTAGATAGGAACTGGTGCCTTAACCCACAGATCCTACACTGGCTGTACACGGCGGTCATCAGGCCGAGGCTCCAGTATGGATCTGTGGTTTGGTGGCCGAGCGTGGACAGAACGATTACGTCCCGAAAGCTGGCAAAAGTCCAGAGACTAGCTTGCCTAGGGATCACTGGCGCAATGAGGACGACACCGACAGCTGCTCTGGAGGTTCTGCTAGGCCTGCCAACGCTTCCCTCGTGGATAAAGAGGGAGGCTATGGCGGCCTATCTGAGAATACAGGATTCTGGGAGCTGGCAGTGTTCAGGCAGAGCTGAAGGTCACGCAGCAATTGTTGGACTGACAGAGAGGGAAATCTCTGTCTCTGTCCTGAAGGTGAGAGAAGCGAAAGATCAGCTAAAGTTGGAAAGGAACTATACTCTCACTCTTCCCAGTAGGGAGGAGTGGAGCGAAGGAAGAATTGACTTCCGCCCGGACTCTCTGGTGTGTTACACAGACGGATCTCGGGTGGCCACTAGACTGTCCTCGGGGCGGGAATATATCTGGAAGGCAAAGAAGTGCAGGAGAGCTTTGTCCTAGGCTCGTACACCACGGTCTTCCAGAGCAAGGTTACCGCCATCCTATCGGTGGCGGGTAGGGCTGAGGTTAGGAATGGGGCGGAACAGATAATATACATCTGCTCCGACAGCCAGGCTACTCTAAAGGCGGTGTGCTACCCCAGGACGAGATCAGCTCTCGTCCAGGAGTGTGGGGATGCCTAAAAGAGCTGGCCAGGCATAAACAAGTGAGACTGGTATGGGTCCCGGGACATATGGGGGTTCCAGGCAACGAGAAGGCCGATGAATTGGCTAGACTCGGAGCCGAGGAACCCTGTCACGGGCCTGAGCCTATGTTAGGTATTTTCAAGAAGGCAGGTCACAACGGCCCTCAATGAGTGGGCCCACGAGACACTGAGGATGCACTGGAGGACAAACAGGGCCTGCAGGCAAATCCGAGATTTTGTGACGGGGCCGAATAAATCGCGATTGGCCTGGTTGCTGGGACGGAGTCGGAAAACTCTGAACCTATTAATCGGTGTTCTGACAGGCCACTGTGAGGGTAAGTGACATCCTGACCTTCATTAGAAGGTCGGAAAGGATGAGAGAAGGAGAGAAGAAAAGAACCTAGCTGAGGGTAGAGCTGGGGGTTGGGGAACGACCGCCCCGCTGTCCCCCCTCTCCCGTCCTCTCCCCCCCCCCATTTCCCCACTCCCATATAAAAAGGGAAAGAGATCCACTCCCCCCTCTCCCCGGTAAGATATTAAATTTTGATATTTCTTTCCGATTAAGGTGAGACATGTAACTATCTATGCTTTAGATGTAGTTCGGACTCCACAATAACCTGTAAGGCGTCGTTTCTCTTTATCCAACACAAGATTCTAGATTTTCAATGAGTTACTTCTGTGAATTGGGAAGCTGTGAGGAAAATAAAAATAAACGGAAAATATAAAAAAAACAGTTTCCTTTATTTTAGCAGATTGTAACTCCGTTAGAGAGCGTTTAAAGGATTAAGTTTATTGAACAATTTTTCATTTTTGTAAACTAGCCTAAAAACATTTTTACAAATTTACCAAACACTGTATATACAGGGTGTT